GAAGAAGAAAAAGAAAACATAGATGATTTTGTCATTTACTACTTATATAAAAATATCAAGTTGTTTTCTTCTTTGAGGGTGAATGCTAAAGGAGGTCATCTGGAAGGACTGCAGATGACTGATTTGGAAAATAATTCTGAAACTGGAGAGTTACAGCCTGTACTACCTGAGGGAGCTTCAGCTGCCCCTGAAGAAGGTAAGGAATGATAACCTTATAAGTAAGCAGGAAGGGAGAATTCTGTCCCTTTTTTGGTAGTGGGTGGTGGTAGTGATAGGGAGGGGTTGGTTTCATGGAAATGTTACTGAGATCTGCTATTTGACGTACTCGATCTGAATACAGCATTCCTTGTGCCACTGAATTTGATTTGCTAAGATATTAAATTCAGAGGAAGGCGAAATGGCTAAGTTACTCTATAAAAGGACATGCCTTATTAGAAAGGGAGAAAAAAAATCTGCATATGGTTTATCTGTTCAGTCAATAAATGTGTTAAGGCACCTACATACCAGGCATCAAATTTTTGCTGTATTTATTTGTTTATTTAAAAGATAGGGTTTCACCATGTTGGTCAGGCTGGTCTTGAACTCCTGACCTCAGGTGATCCGCCCGCCTTGGCCTCCAAAGTGCTTGGATTACAGGCGTGAGCCACCACGCCCGGCCTGCTGTATTTATTAATACAAAGTTGAATTAGATATGTTCACAATCTAATGGGGAAGATGTGCCCCAAAGCAACTAATTAGAATAATGTTAACTATCTTTTTAAGTCAGTCTTAATTAGTATCTGTAGATGGCTTTTTTTAAAGAAGCATTGCAAGCTTTAACCATTTTTAAATCCCTTATGATGACTGACCTCAGCTTGTTCTCAATTACACTTTCTAGTGTTTTTTCTGCGTGTTCTTCCAAGTTCATTATTGTTTATCTAAAAGCATAGAAGACATTTTGCAATTTGGGGCAACAGAGGTGCTTGGAACAAGGCTATTATTGCCCTTGCTGTGTCCGTTATAAGTTCAGCAGAAAAGAAAGTCAACTCTCTTAATGATGTTTGGCCTTGTAATTTATTTCTTAGCGAAATTCTACCTAGACCTTCCACCTCTGCACTCATTTGAATATCAATGATTGATGAATTGTAGCTCAAAGCTTACATACAGGTGCCAGCATCTACTTGGCTGCCCTCAGAGAGGGTGTGTGGGTGGTGGCATTTTCAGGTTTCTCAGTTAAAGAACACTAAACATTTTGGTCTTTGTTTGGTGCTCCTGTGTGGGCAGCATTATTTCAGTAGAAGAGATTAAATAGAAAATATTTTTTAAATGATGTGTTTATTGTTAAAACTTCAAGAAATATTATGATTGATGAACTTTATAGAAAGGGCCTATGGGAAAAAGTTACTTTCTGTGTGTCTCCGTATATGTTGGATTCTAGTAGCTTAAATTACTACAGAATATACTGGAATTACAAGCTCATTTGTTTTTTCTGCCAAGCACAGTGGCTCATGCCTGTAATCCCAGGACTTTTGGAGGCCAAGGCAGGTGGATCGCTTGAGGTCAGGAGTATGAGACCAGCCTGGCAAACATAGTGACACCCATCTTTACTAAATATATAAAAATTAGCTAGGTGTGGTAGTAGACACCTGTAATCCCAGCTACTCGGGAGGCTGAGGCAGGAGAATTGCTTGAACCCAGAAGGTGGAGGTTGCAGTGAGCCAAAATTGTGCCACTGCACTCCAGTCTGGACGACAGAGTGAGACTTCATCTCAGATGATAAATAACAAACTCATTTTTTTCATGCAACATTTATTAAATGTCCAATTTACCAGATGTTACAGTCGATGCCAGTGATAAAATTCCTGAAACTACTGTTTAGTTCAGAGTTTCTCCACTCTACTGTTTAGTTCAGAGTTTCTCCACCATAGCACCATTGTCATTTAGGCCACATAATTCTTTATTGTACAGGGGCTGTTCTCTGCATTATAGAATGTTTAGCAGCATCCTCAGCTTTTAACCACTAGTTACCAGTAGTGGTACAACAACCAAAAATGTCTCTAGACATTGCCAAATGTTTCCTGGGAGGCAAAATTATCCCCAGTCAAGAACCAGTAGTTGAACTAAATAATTCTCAACCAGAGGTGACCACTCCTTGAGAATCACTTGCCAGAGTGGGCCACAGTTACTAATAGAAACAAGTTGTAATTCTCAGGTGTGTTAGGTATGTGTGGTGGTAGTGGTAGGAGGGTGGCAGGGAGAGCAGGTGAAAACCAGTGGTTAGATGTTGGGGAAACTAATAGCCAGTTATAATACAGAACAATGAGTGCTGTGATAAGGTGTATAGGCAGCTCAAATATGAGATATGTAATAAAAATAATAGATAATACTAAGTTCTTACTATGTTAAAGACTACCAGTATTATGTTATTCTCAAAATAACTCTACATGGTAGTTACTTTTGTTAACCCAGTTTTACAGGTAACTAAGCTGAGGCCTAGAGATGTAATTTACGTTACCCAAAGTCACAGGGTTAGAAATTGGAAGGTCGGGCGCAGTGACTCACACCTGTAATCCCAGCATTTCGGGGAGGCCAAGGCAGGCAGATCACCTGAGGTTGTTAGGAGTTTGAGACCGACCTGGCCAACATGGTGAAATCCCATCTCTACTAAAAATAGAAAAATCAGCCAGGTGTGGTGGCATGCTCTTGTAATCCCAGCTACTCAAGAGGCTGAGGCAGGAGAATCACTTGAACCCAGGAGGTGGAGGTTGCATTGAGCCGAGGTTGTACCATTGCACTCCAGCCTGGGTGACAGAGCAAGACTCCGTCTCTGGAAAAAAAAAAAAGAAATTGGAAGAGCTAGAATTTGAACCTAGAGCCAGCGCTCTTAACTGTCGCCTCTCTGCTGACCTAGTCCCTAGTCAACCCTTGGAAAGATCATCCTAAGGGATGAGTAGGAGTTAGCCAGGTGAATACTGGTAAAAGAGAAGCCAGAATGGAGACAGACAGAGGTTAGTTCATGAAGAGTTATGTGGTATGTACCAGATAGAATTTGAACTTTGTCATTTGAATAGGATCTAAGAAGTGATGCTTTAAAATTTCTACTCCAGCTGCATTGTGGAGAATGGATTTGGGGGTGGGAATGTAGTATGTGGACCTAGGGCCAGGAAAATTGGTAAGAAGCTGGTTAATTTAAGTACAGTGATTTGGACTTTTTTTTTTTTTTTTTTTTTTAATTTAAGAGACAGGGTTTAACTGTGTTGCCCAGGCTGGTCTTAAACTCCTGGACTCAAATGATCCTTCTGCCTCAGCTTCCCAAAGTGCTGGGTTACAGGCATGAGCCACCACATCCAGCCAATTTGAACTTAATTTCAGCCTCCAGTTTATCAATTTACATTATTTCAGAACTAACTTTTATATGTAAAATAGTTGGTCGCACCAAACACTGGAACTTTTTGACAGTAGTTTCATTTCTTATTTAAAGCTAATTGACAGCTTATCCTAAACTGAAGAAAGGCATTTTGCTTGGCCATAGTTAAGATCTACAGTATATTTTACAAGTCTTTCAAAGAATGGAATTATTCATGTGGGATTTAGAGTTAAGTGATCAGTGGTATTCAGTGACACATTTTACCTTTATGTATGGGGTGTTGTGCTATAAAGCACCTCGAACTCGATAAGAAAATTTGCTGTGAATGTGTAAATCAGCAGTGACACAGAAGTACACTCTTGTAATTTGTTACCTCCGAGTCCCAGGATAGACTGTGAGAAGGAGACTAGTTGATGAGGATGAGAAAAGGTAGTACAGGAGACAAAGGAAGCCCTCTGCCTCTTGCAATCAGCTTTGTTTCTCAAGGAGAATGTGGTCTGGCTCTCTGCTGCCAGAATTATTCTATCATCAGCAAGAGCAAGTTCTCAGGAAACCCTTACGTACCTGTAAGCCTTAGTAGACAGTTGAATGGATGTTTCTTGTATCCATGCTTAGGAAAAACAAGACACTTTGAGTCAAACACAAAAAGACATTCTGTGTCAAATCACTGTGGGGTTCTCCCTCTTTCTCAAAGAGAGGGCTGTCTGAAGAACCTTAAAATAAGGCATTCTTTGTGGTACTGGCCGGGTATTTGGGACTACTAAAGTGTCTCTTAATTGCTCTTAAGCATCAGTTTAAAAATAACTTTTTTCTTAGACATGATAGTCATAAGCAGGCCTTTTCCTTTTTGCTGGAACCATATGGGACAGCCTTTGGTTGTATTAGTCTTTGGTTTAATGACCTGATGTTGAAAAGGTTGACTTATTTTTTCTCTCATTTGATAACCTGCAGAACTATAGGTAGGCCAGGTTATTTCTTGTTCTTTGTAAAACTCAGAGGCTTTGCTCTCTGAGTTCTTGCTGAAGTAGCACAAACCCCCTTCAGTTAAATCAGGGGTACTCAAAACATCATACAGGGAAAAGCCTTGGCACATCTGCCAGAACCCTTGCTGGCAGCCTCTTTAAGAGGAATATAGAGTCTGATGGCCTGCCATTGCTGATCATTTAGGGTAATGATTAAGATACCTTTAACAAAATTTACCGAAAAATAACTGACTTGAACAAAAAGGAAAATTAACTCTCTTATATTAACAAGTCTCCTAATAATAAGAAGGTATACCTAACTGTGATAGAGCAGTTTCAGAATTAGAAAATTTAGCTGCTCAGTGTCATCAAAAACTTGCCTTTTGTGTGTGTGTGGGTGGCATGGAGTTGGGGTGTTGTTTTATCTTTTGCCCTATCCTTACTTTCTCAATGAGAGGCTTAGCTCTTCTCAGGGTGGTAAGATGATTGCTGTAGTACAAGACATCAGTCAGAATAGCATTCTGGGAGTGGGAGAAGATTGTTTTATATATCTCTAGCAGCAAGGAAAACCTTTCTCAGAGCACCTCAACAACTTCCTCTTCTATCTCGTCAGCCATTGTCAAGGAAAATGGTCCAAGTCCAGTTTTTTTGTTTTTGGAGATCGAGTCTTGCTCTGTCACACAGGCTGGAGTGCAGTGGCGTGATTTCGGCTCACTGCAACCTCCGTCTCCTGGGTTCAAGCGATTCTCCTGCCTCGGCCTCCTGAGTACCTGGGATTACAGGTGCTTGCCACATGCCTGGCTAATTTTTGTATTTTTAGTAGAGAGGGTTTCACCAGGCTGGTCTCAAGCTCCTGACCTCAGGCAATGCACCTGCCTCTGCCTCTGAAAGTGCTGGGATTACAAGTGTGAGCCACTGCACCTTGCCAGCCAAGTCCAGTTATTTGGTCTCCCTCTCCAACTCATTCCACATGGCTTAGTGGAAGAAGGAAAATACCTGAACAATATCAAGGTCCTCTTCGAAAGGGGAAAGGCAGATAAATTGTTAGTGACTAGAAGACAAAGTGTCAGCTATTATCAGGTGGTTAATATATTTTTTAAGCATCTGAAATTTGAGCAACTCGATTTATGGGACTTATGACTCAAGTTAGCTTTACTGAGCATGTATGTAGGCTGTGCTTAAAAAATTTGGTAGATGATTGGTAAGATTAATATGATGCAGATTTCTTTTGCATTAACAATCTCTGAAGTTTCTTACAATTAATAGTATCTTGTAATTGCCATCATTGACATCCTGCAACTTGTCTTTTTCTTTACGTTCACAAAGGTAGGAAACTTCCAGATCTTAGTGCTTGACCAGGTATTTTCATGCAGGAATTTCTTTCTAGCATTTCTTGAGAAATGTATGTTTTTTTTGAATTCTGAGAAAAATTAGAATTAAATTTTAACAACACAGAAACATCACTGATTTGAAGGAATCTAGTTAGGGCAAGTTGAAAGTAAAAACTAGAAATACTGATTCATGGAATCAAAGGTTAAAGTCAACAGGAGCTCCTTGGAAAGAAGTGATTACAAATCAGTCTTCATGATAAATATTGCCATTTTATGTGTGTTCATGGCCCTGTCTGCTGCTAAGTAAGTATTAATGAGTTTACACACAGTATACTTAATAAAATTGAGTGGTGTTCCAAGAAATAGATTTTGAAGCAAAATCCTTATATTGGCATTTTTGACGTGTGATTCTACACAGTATTGTAAACTTTGCTGAGTCCTAAATGTTACAATATTCACATACTACCCAGTAATACCCACATGCAGTCTAGCATTTGAATATTCACTATAGGCCTCAGTTCTTATAAATACTAATTGAATGATTTTTTAAAAGATACACATGTAGGCTGGGTGCGGTGACTCACACCTATAATCCCAGCACTTTGGGAGGCCGAGGTGGGCAGATCACAAGGTCAGGAGTTTACCAGCCTGACCAATATGGTGAAACCTCATCTCTACTGAAAATATTAAAAATACAAAAAAATTAGCCAGGCGTGGTAGTGCATGCCTATAATCCCAGCTACTTAGGAGACTGAGGCAGGAGAATTGCTTGAACCCAGGAGGCAGAGGTTGCAGTGAGCCGAGATCATGCCACTGCAGTCCAGCCTGGGTGACAGAGTAAGACTCCCTCTCAAAAAAAAAAAAAAAAAAACAAATAAAAAAGATACACATGTAATGAATAGTTTGAAAAATGTATTTAAATAATAACTTTTTTAAAAGAATAATTTTGATTTTGGGAATTCCACAGAATTGCAGTTCATTGTTTTTGAATCCTGAAGATTGGTATTGTTGGGAATTAAGAAACACTGCTACTAAGAAATCAAATCTGTGCCTTGAAGTTCAGCTCAGTGTGGTTTTAGTGTTTTCAGCAACAGTTCCATGAAGGGCCACAAGGTGGAGGTGGTACTTCACAGAACTAGCTAGTTATGGTCTCTAATCATTAAAGACTCTTTAATGGTCTCTTTGCTCTTTTTTTTTTTTCTTTCTCCTACCTCATAAGATTGTTGTAAACTCTTCACTCTTTAGAACAGGCAAGTTTGGGTTTTTTGTTTTTTGTTGTTTTTTCTTTGCTGATGATGGAGACGTTTTCTAAACATTTAAGGCAGAAATAATGCTAACCAAACTCTTCTTGGGAACAGAAAAGGAAGAATGCAACAGTGAAGCCATGTGGGGCCACAGTTATCTTTTGGAAGCTTTTTAAAGTAAAACAGATTTTATTTCTTTAAGAAATAAATACCTACCTGTTTTTCCTTGAGTAAGCTTTGGTAGTTTTTATCTGTGAAAAAATTTGTTCATTTCATCTGTTTTTGGTTTCATGAGTTATTTATAGTATTTTATTATATTTTAATAAAAAATTAAAATATTAGATTTTAATATAATTTTTTAAAATATATTTTAATATTTAAATATAAAATTTTAATAAAAAATTATAGTATTTTATTATATTTTACTATTTATAGAATCTATAGTTGATGTCCTCTTTCATTCCTGATATTGGAAATTTTGTTTGCTCTTTTTTTTTTTTGGTTAGTGAATATACCTAGGGGCCTTTAATTTTATTGATCTTTTCAAAGAAACACCATTTTGTTTCATTAGGGTTTTTTTGTTTGCCTGCTCATTTTATTATGTTTTCTATTATTTCCTTACTTTTTCTTGCTTTGGGTTTAATTTACTTTTTCTAGTTTCTTAAAGTAGAAGTTTAGATTATTGATTTGAGATATTTTCTCTTCTAATATAAACATTTAATGGCATAATTTTCTCTTTAAGCACTGCTATAGTCACATCACACAAATTTTGATATATTGTATATGCATTTACTTCAGAATGTTTTTTATAATTCTACAAAATTTCCATTGTACCTAGAACCTTCCTTCCAGAGAGGATTTTACTTTTGCTTTATTCAAATAACACTAGATCCTCAATAATTTTTATGTTAATTTCTTGAAATTTGAACCTCAACCTTAAATCCCAAACCTAAATTAGGCACATAAATTTTACTTTGAATTTAGAGGTGAGACTTTTTTCTCCCTCTTGAGAGCCCAGTAGAAACAAAGTTCCTTGCTATTTTCCTATGCCAGTAGGCAGAGATTTTTTCTAGCCTCTTCTTTCAATAAGAGTTTTAGCAGTGGCCAGGCATGGTGACTTATGACTATAATGCCCCCACTTTAAGAGGCCAAAGCAAGTGGATTGCTTTAGCTCAGGAGTTGAAGACCAGTCTGGGCAACATGGCGAAATCCTGTCTCTACCAAAAAAATACGAAAGTTAGCCAGGTGTGGTGGTGTGTGCCTGTTGGGAGGCTGAGGTGGGAGGATCACCTGAGTGCTGGGAGGTCAAGGCTGCAGTGAGCCATGATTGTACCACTGTACCCCAGCCAGTCTCAAAAAACAAACAAAAATTTTAACATTATGCAGGGGGTGGGGTTTTAGTCTCACTTCCAGTTCCTTTTCTGTGATGGGTCCGTTTTTCTATCCTAAAGCAGTGTTAAAAATCCTCATGTGGCCAGGCACGGTGACACGTGCCTGTAGTCCCAGCTACTGCGGAGGCTGAGACTGGAGGATCACTTGAGTTCAGGAGTTCTGGGCTGTAGTGCACTATGCCAGTCGGGTGTCCACACTAAGTTCGGCATCAATATTGTGATGTCCCGGGAGCAGGGGACCACCAGGTTGTCTAAGGAGGGGTGAACCAGGTAGGTCGGAAACAGAGCAGGTCAAAACTCCTGTGCTGATCAGTAGTGGGATTGCGTCTGTGAATAGCCACTGGACTCCAGCCTGGGCAGCATTGTAAGATCCCATCTCTAAAAAATAAATAAATAAAAATAAAAAGATAAAAAAGAAAAATCCTCACATGGGCCAGGCATGGTGGCTCACACCTGTAATCCCAGCACTTTAGGAGGCCTAGGCCAGTAGATCACCTGAGGTCAGGAGTTAGAGACCAGCCTGGCCAACATGGTAAAACCCCATCTCTGCTAAAAAATACAAAAATTAGCTGGGCGCAGTGGTAGGCCCCTGTAATTCCAACTACCCAGGAGGCTGAGGCAGGAGAATCACTTCAACCCGGGAGGCAGAGGTTGCAGTGAGCTGAGATTGTGCTATTGCACCCCAGTCTGGGAGACAGAGTAAGACTCCAACTCAAAAAAAATTTTTTAAATCCTCACATGTAGCTCTCCAGGGCAACTGTGGCCCCTGACCCACTAATGAAAGTTTCTTATCTTTCTGGAGGTTAAAGTGAGAGGATCTCTTCTCAAGCCCAGGAGTTCGAGACCACCCTGGGCAACATGTTATAGCAAGACCCTGTCCCTCCCCACCCCCCCCCAAAAAAAATTTTAATTAAATTAGCAAGGCATGGTTTCTTCATGTACCTGTGGTCCTATCTACTTGGGAGGCTAAGGCAGGAGTATCACTTGAGCTCAGGAGGTTGAGGCTGCAGTGAGCTATGATCAGGCCACTGCAACCCAACCTAGGTTGACAGAGACCCTGTCTCTCAAAAAATAAAAATAAATGAAAATCAAATGGCATACACAAAAAAAGTAGATGCCCAATTAGAATACAAACTAATGTATTATTAGAATTGCCAGAATTTCTAATATTCATATACCATGTGTATTTGTATAATATGTGTATATATGTTTTAGGCTAGGTACTATAATTATGTCTGTAATGAGTCAGGATTAAAAGAATTGCTGTTATCTCTTGTGACTGAATAAAAGCAGTGTTTGATTTAGAAAAACGAAATTTTCAATATAATGAAATTAATGCTGGTTTCAAATTGTAACTTTCAAGTACTGTGGAAAGGGCAGTTTTGAACTTGAGAACAAAAATAAAACCACTGCTATAAATAGCTAAAGAGAATCTACATTTGTGTGATTACTTTTGTCTTTGTTTAGTTTATTGAATTCTTGACATTCTGTGTAAAATTTAATTAGGAATCTAAGGTTAGTAGATAAGGAGATTTCTGTTCCTTTCACTAACAGTGGTTTCTTTTCAGAAACATGTTCTCCTTCCTTCCTGCCAGAAATGAGTAGCGACAGTGACATTGAATGTGACACTGAGAATGAGGAGCAGGAAGAGCACACCAGTGTGGGCGGGTTTCACGACTCTTTCATGGTCATGACACAGCCCCCGGATGAAGGTGCAACACATGATGTCATTTTACACAGATTAATAAAACTACTGTTGCTGCTTCTCTTTCTTCTTCTGCTGCTGCTGCTACTTCTACTACTTCTGCTCTGCTGCTTTTGCTTCTTTTGCTTCTACTTCTTTTTTTTTTTTTTTTTTTTTTTTTTTTTTTTTGTGAGACAACATTCTTTGTTAAGCTATTATGGTGAGTACTGAAAAAACATAGTTGGTAATATTTGACTTGGTTGTACCTAATGAGTGCTACTTACTGGGTAGAGAAGGGGTCCACAACCTGCTTTTATATAGTCCATGACCTGAGAATGGTTTTTTACTTTGTAAAGAGGTAAAGAGTCTTAAAAAACAAGCAAAAGAAACCAAGAAGAATTTTCTTTTTTTCCCCCCCCTTTTCCCCTCAAGACAAAGTCTTGCTCTGTTACCCAGGCTGGAGTACCGTGGCACAATCTTGGCTCACTGCAACCTCCGCCTCCTGCGTTCAAGTGATTCTCTTGCCTCCACCTCACGAGTAGTTGGGATTACTGGCACACACCACCATACCCAACTAATTTTTTTTATATATTTAGTAGAGATGGGGTTTCACCATGTTGGCTAGGCTGGTTTTGAACTCCTGACCTTGTGATCCACCCCCCTGAGCCTCCCAAAGTACTGGCATTACAGGCATGAGCTACTGTGCCCAGCCCAAAGAAGAATTTTCAACAGAGTCCATTTTGTGGCCTACAGTGCCTAAATATTTACTATCTACCTTTCATAGCAAATGATTCGCAATCCCTGGGGAGACTTTAGATGTTTGGGGTTTTTTTTTTTTTTTTTTCCCCAGAGATTTTTCTAGCCTACTCTAAGATAACTTTAAAAATAACCTTTTCTGATTTCTTAGAAATACCTGAAGATTATGAAATCAATTTTTATTATCTCCTACCCCCAAAAAAGTTATTAGGAAAAAACTCAACAAAAGAAACCTACTATTAATATTTTACCTTGTTTTTTTTTCTGTTCTCATTTGCATTTCTTCTACCTAAATTTTTTGTTGTTGTTGTTGTTGAGACGGAGCCTTGCTGTGTCTCCCAGGCTGAATTGAGTGGCTTAATCTCAGCTCACTGCAACTTCTGTCTCCCAGGTTCAAGCAATTCTCCCACCTCAGCCTCCCGAGTAGCTGGGACAACAGGCATGTGCCACCATATCCAGCTCTTTTTTGTTATTTTTTAGTAGAGACAGTATTTTTGTATTTTTTAGTTTTTGCCACGTTGGCCAGCCTGGTCTCGAACTCCTGACCTCAGGTGATCTGCCCACCTTAGCCTCCCAAAGTGCTGGGGATACAGATGTGAGCTATCATGCCAGCCCTACCTAAATATTTTATAAGTACTTTTGTATTCTGCTTTTTTCACTTAAATATAAGTTATTTATAATGTCATAAACTTTATTTTATGGCAACCTAATATTCTGTCATGTGGATATAACATAAGTATTCTGCCGTGAAGCAATTTTCTGGAATATAGATTAATCAATAAAAGGATATACTGTCAAGTTAGAGAAATACACATTTAAAGTTACCCAGAGGCCTTAATAATCAATCTCAACATTCCTCTGCAGGATATCCTAGAGTAACAACATTGTCAAGTCTGTGCTAATTGTCTGCTTTATATTTTACATATTTTCCTGGTGTTCTAGTAACTTTTTCAATACAGAACCAAGCATTTGATGATTTGTAAGTACTAAGGCATCTTTAGTAACTTCCTCTGCTTCTAAAAGAAGCATCCAAATTTTGTGCAAGTTATTTGGAGTGCTGGTGGTTTTTGTGATAACTTGCATGTGTAATTTAACTGGCTTTGAAATAGGTTTTATGTTTATAAGGTCTTGAATCTTGAGAATATACATCATTGCTTCTTGTTCCCTTCTTAAGCTGCCCCCACATTGTCCCCAGGAGGACAAAATGAGACAATTCCTATCTTTTAATTGTGAGTGTCTGTTACACATTTTGTTTTTTCCTTTATTTTTTCTTTGTGTTTGCTCATACCTGACTGAGATCACAAATTCTCTGAAGACAGAGATTTGTTCACAACCCAGCACGTCTTTATCACTTAAATAACACATTTGGTAAGATCATTTAAAGACTTGGGAAGGAAAATACTCCTCCTGTTGTATGCTTTTAAATTTTAAATTATTTATTTTTTTTATTCATAGATACACATTCCAGTTTTCCTGATGGTGAACAAATAGGCCCTGAAGATCTCGGCTTCAATACAGATGAAAACAGTGGAAGGTAATTGCCAAATCAAGAGAACTGACTTGCAAGCTACCTTGACCTTGAATTTTGCTATAGTTGGTGCTCAAATTTGTCATCAGTCAGATAATCAGATTTAGTCTTACTTTTTCATTACCTGAAACAGTAATTTGGAAACTGTTGGAAGGTGGCACAATTTAGAATAAGATCGCAGTAGTACATGGGAAAAAACAGTATGGGAATAGTTCTTTGTAACGTAAGGAAATGACAGTGTCGTTCTCTATTAATGTAGCAAATGTGTGCATTCACAAAAGGCAGTTGTCTACTACAGCAGAGGTGGTTAACGGCCAGAAAATGTACCCCCCAAGTCATGCATGCCCTCAGTAACCTGCTCGGGATTGGTGCTCTACTGTCTTTGGCTAGAGCTTAGTTGTGTTTAAATGATCACCTTTATATTTGGGGTTTTAATTACACTTTAGTTACAGTTCCATTAGTGCCTATAGATTAGTGAACAGAACAATTGCTTATGAACAGATTCTGCCCTGTAGACACTTTATGTGAATAACTGAAGTAACACTAGACTGAGTCTCCTCTTTGGGTAGGTATCTTCTCATTATTTCAAGTACAGGCACACTGTTGATTGGCATGTAATCTTTATGTTGTGTGACTTCTGCAAGTGTAATTTTAAATGAATTAACATGGACTTGTTCTGTTCCTGGTCCTGTAAACACATCTAAGATTATTTACGATTATTTCCTTTTTTTCTGCCTGTTACCATACAACTGTAGTGCAACAAATATTTTAAAGCCCACCTTTTTTTCTTTATTTTCATCAGTTGGACATTGATTTCAGTGTCAACAGATTTAAAGATTGATTCATGTTGCACAGTGGCTTACATGAAAGTGAAACTGATAAAAGATTTTCTTTCATACTTAAAATTAGCCCAAGACAGTTGCCACACTTTGCCATTGTGCTCCTGCATTTGTGTTTGAGCTGCTATGTATTGTGAAAATTACATTGAAAGTTGACTAAGAGACTATTGACAAAGCATGATAATTATACATGTGAGAGACATCTGCTGTATTTTACTTAGTGAATATTGTTCACTTTTCCGTGTCTGATGTCTTGCTGAATGCTGTGACTCAGTTTACTTTTGTTCAAAATAGTTTGCACTTTTTAAAATAAAATCAACTTGAGAAAATATGCCTCTGCTATTTATTAAATTGGGACCAGAAACCCTTTTTTTCTACTCATTGCCTGTGGCTATTTAGTAGTATAGAGAAGATCCAAACATTTGATTGTTTTGTGTTTAGTTTCATGGTAAGGAGTGATGCCTAGTGTTGATCCCAGTCATTCTAAAATTATAATAAACCTGAAAGACCAAAAGATTTCTTCATTACCTTGCTTCTGTATTTAGTATTTTATCTCGTTTACTTCTGGAAAATTTCTCCTGAGTAGAGTTTTCTGTTAGGGCTAGAGATACATTAGTGCTTGTGTTGTCTATGAACATATCCTTTCTGGACAGCTTTACTTGTGTCATTGATCCTGAAGTAACCTTTGAGGTAGATGAGTTGTATATCAAACCTGTTTGGCCATGGAGCCTGAGGTGTGGGAAGGTTGTATGATTCTCTTAAGGTTTGACACCACTGGCAGGGATGGGTGAACTGCTGGTCTAGTGCCTTTTCCACTTTATCTCACTTGCACCAAACCCAACATTCTGATACCTAATAATTAAAAACCCAAAGATTATTCTTTTTTTTTTTTTAGCTTTTAAGATAATTTTAGGTTTGCAAAAGAGTTGCAAAAATTGTGAGTTTCCGTATACCCTCTGCCCAGCTTCTCCTTTGTTAATGCCTTACATAATTATAGAACAGTGATCAAAACTAAGAAATTAATCCTGGTTACAGTATTGTTAATCTACAGAATTTGTTCAGATTGCATCACTTATTTCACAAATGTTCTTTTTCTGTTCTAGGATCCAGTCTAGGATCCCACATTGTACTTTGTTAGCATGTTTCCTTGGTATCCGTCAGTATATGATAGCCCCACCATCTTTCCTTGGTTTCGTGACCTCGATATTTTTGAAGAGGATGTGTTATTTTATTAGATGTTCTTCTGGCCAGACACAGTGGCTCACGCCTGTAATCCCAGCACTTTGGGAGGCTAAGGCAGGTAGATCATGAGGTCAGGAGATTGAGACCATCCTGGCCAACAGAGTGAAACCTCATCTCTACTAAAAATACAAAAGTTAGCTGGATGTAGTGTAATCCCAGCTACTCAGGAGGCTGAGGCAGGAGAATCACTTGAACCCGGGAGTCAGAGGTTGCAGTGAGTTGTGATCACACCACTGTACTCGAGCCTGGTGACAGAGCGAGACTCCGTCTCAAAAAAAAAAAAATGTTCTTCTATTTGGGTTTGTCAGATGCTTTCTTATATTAACTTGAGGTTATACATTATTGGGAAGGCCCTTCTCAGTGCATCACATCAGCGGGAATACAATGTTTATATGTAAATGTACATATATATACATACATATAGATTGGTGTTTTATTTTTTTCTTCTTCTTTTTATTTTTTTTTTTGGATGGAGTCTCACTGTGTCACTCAGGCTAGAAGGCAGTGGCACCAGCTCGGTTCACTGCAAACTGCTTCCCGGTCTCAAGCGATCTTCCCACCTAAGCCTCCCGAGTAGCTGGGACTTAGGTGTCTACCACCATACCTGGCTAATTTTTGTATTTTTTGTAGAGATAGGGTTTCACTATGTTGCCCAGGCTGGCGTCCAACTCCTGAGCTCAAAGGCATCCACCTACCTCAGCCTCCCAAGGTGCTAGGATTACAGGCACAACCCACCACTCCTGGCCCGATGTTGATTTTTTTTTTTTCTTTTTCCTTTTTTTTTTTTGAGACGGAGTCTCGCTGTGTTGCCAGGTTGGAGTGCAGTGGCACGATCTTGGCTCACTGCAACCTCCACCTCCCAGGTTCAAGTGATTCTCCTGCCTTAGCCTCCCGGGTAGCTGGGAGTACAGGCGCACACCAACACGCCCAGCTAATTTTTGTATTTTAGTAGAGAGAGGGTTTCACCATGTTGGCCAGGATGGTCTCGATCTCTTAACCTCGTGATTTGCCTACCTTGGCCTCCCAAAGTTCTGGGATTACAGGTGTGAGCCATCGTGCCCAGCTGATGTTTTTTTTTTATTGGTGAACTTAACCTTGAGATTACTTGGTTAAGGTGGTGTTTGTGAGGATTCCCTACTAAATTTAGTTTTTTTCCCTTTGTAATTACTAATATTTGGGGCAGATACTTTGAAACTATGCAGATACTATTAAACCTTTCCTTTTTTTCAAAGACAGGGTCTGGATTTGTTACCCAAACACCTGGAGTGCAGTGGCTCAGTCTAGGCTCAGTACAGCCTCAACCCCCTGCGCTTAAGTGGCCCTCCCACGTCAGCCTCCTGGGGCATACAAAAAATAATTTTGTATTTTTTGTAGAGATAGGGTCTTTAACCTCCTGGGCTCAAGCAGTCCTTCCACCTCAGCCTCCCATAGTGCTGGGATATAGGCATGTGCCACTGCGCCCGACCAAAACTCTCACTTACTAATTTTATCACCTAGTAGTCGATCTTGCCTATGGGAATTATTACTGTAATGTTTAGTTTTCTAATTCTCTAATTTCTTCTGTGTTTTTTATTAGAATGCTATAAGGAAAAGTCCTTCCCCATTTTAAAAATTTCAGTCACTTGGCCGGGCACGGTGGCTCACTCCTGTAATCCCAGCACTTTGGGAGGCCGAGGTGGGTGGATCACGAGGTCAAGAGATCGAGACCATCCTGATCAACATGGTGAAACCCCATCTCTACTAAAAATACAAAACATTAGCTGGGCATGGTGGCGCGTGCCTGTAATCCCAGCTACTCAGGAGGCTGAGGCAGGAGAATTGCCTGAACCCAGGAGGCGGAGGTTGCGGTGAGCCGAGATCGCACCATTGTACTCCAGCCTGGGTAACAAGAGCGAAACTCCGTCTCAAAAAAAAAAAAAAAATTTCAGTCACTTAATTATATCAGCTACTTTATGTCCATATATAATGGATATGTATTTTGTTTTTGAGTTATGACTCAATGCTGTTAATATTTTGTAGCGTGGCTGGTTCTAGTTTTAGCCATTGGAAACTCTTTCAGATTGGCTCCTGTGTCCTTTTCATATGTCTCATTCTTGGTTTTTTTAAGCATTTCTTTGCTTTCTGACATCACAAGATGCCGACCCCAGCCATGGAATTAACCACTTCCTGAGGAACCATGGTTCTTTTTATTGGAGTATGCTATTTAGAAACAAAGATTTGGATGCCATTTATTTATTATTATTAGACTGTCACTGCTTCTAGTCCCACTCAGTGGATAGATAGAAAATGTAAATTGGCTGAGTGTGGTGGCGTGCACCTGTGGTCCTGGCTACTTGGAAGGCTGAGGTGGAAAGATCATTTGAGCTTGGGAGGTAGAGGTTGCAATGAGCCAAGATTGTGCCAGTGTACTTCAGTCTGGGTGACAGAGTGAAACCCTGTCTCGAAAAAAAGTAAATGTATGTAGACAGCTGTTCCCTCAGTATCTGTGAGGGATTGGCTCCAAGAGCCCATGTGTATACCAAAGTTCACAGATGCTCGAGTCCCTGTATAAAATGGCATAGTGTTTGCATATAGCCTGTGCACACCCTCCTGGATCCTTTGTTTTGGGTTTTGAGACAGGGTCTCATTCTGTTGCCTAGGCAGGGCTGCAGTTGTGCATACATAGCTCACTGCAGCTAGGAACTCTTGGGCTCAGGCAATCCTCTCACCTCAGCCTCTTGGGTAGCTGGGACTGCAGGTGTGAGCAACCACGCCTGAGCTTCCAGATACTTTAAATCATCTCTATGATACCTAATGCAATGTAAATGCTATGTAAATTAGTGTTGTGCTTTTTTTCTTTATTTTTAAAAATAAACTCTGTCCATAGTTGCTTGACTCCTTGGATGCAGAAACCAAAGATAGAGAGAGGGCTGACTCTAAAGGTACTCATGCAGATACACACATTCACAGGGATGTCTGTACATATCTCTGTATGTGTGTGACTACGACTTTGAGTCTATATTGGTAACAGTTCAACTCCGAGAGGCCTCATTCTGGCCTTCCCTCTTATCTTTCTCTGACACAAGCCTAGCTCTCATTAGCTACAATATATGTATGCACTTGTTCAACCCTAATATACAGGTAGCTTCAAAACTGTTGGCCTCCTGTGGATACCAGGCTATGCCCTACAAAAAAAAAAAAATTACCACCTATAATATAGCGCTTGTGTACCGTTCTTTGAGTCTTTAGCTTTTCAGTATTGTGTCATAACATGTTTTCAGATACGTAGGTCCTTAGATTCAAAGTCAGTTCTTTTCTTTTCCATTCCCTTCATTGTGTTTTGTGCTTCGTTGGTAACACGGTTAGGTCCATCTGTTACGGTCTACATTCTGTCCTCCCCCACATATCCTGGTTAATTTGTAAATTTACATACATTAAAATTCAGTCTTTGTGGCATAGTTTTGTGGGTTTCGACAAATGTCATGTGTCTGCCACCACAATACTATACACAACATTTCAGTCACCCCAGAAATTCCCTGTCCTGGTGCTTATAGGTAACTACCTCCCTTCCCTGCAGCTCCTGGCTACCACTGATCTGATTTGATTGTTTTCTGCCCTTTTTAGTTTTCCCTTTTCCAGAGAGTCATGTAAACGGGATCACAATTCGGCCTCTCACTTCGCAAAGTGCAGTTAAGTTTAACTCATCTTGTGTGAATCAGTACTTCATTCTTTTTTATTGCTGAGTAGTAAGTAGTCCACTGTGCAGATATACCACCGTTTATTCATTTACCCATTTGGGTTATTTCTAGTTTAGGCTGATTAGATTCTTGTAAACATTTGGGTACAAATTTTTGTGTGAGCATAAGCTTTTATTCTCTAGAGTGTTATATGCTGTATTAGTCTGTTTTCACACAACTGATAAAGACATACCTGAGACTGGGCAGTTTATAAAAGGAAGAGGTTTATTGGACTTACAGTTCCACGTGATTGGGGAGGCCTCACAATCATGGTGAAAGGTGAAAGGCACATCTCATATGGCGGCAGACAAGAGAAAAGAGCTTGTGTAGGGAAACTCCCCCTTATATAATCATCAGCTCTCATGAGATTTAT